GATTTAAGGCATGGTCCAGTTATGAGATTGGTTCTGTCTGTATTTTCTGTTTATGTGTGAAGTATTGTTGTGGTTGAGTTTTATTTATTTTGTCATACATTTATAGGAAAATAACTTGGTCCTACTCTATTTAAGTAATTGCTACCAAATTTTGGTAGCATCCTTTCTCATTGTTATACTATTGAAAATTATATAAAGTTTGGATTTTTATATTTTAATAATAATAATAATTTAGTGTTTTATTTTGTGTTATTTATGTTAAATATATGGATTAAAAAAGTATGTGTATTTGCTATTTGGTGTTTAAATTGAAATATTTTGTATTTGGTACCTGAAAGAGAAATAGTTTATTAGATTTGTGCAAATCAACAAAGTCTGGAAGCTAAAAATAAAATAATAAATAATTAAATCATAAATCATTGCGTTTTAAACTGAATTATGCTGCAGTTACGAATATTATTTTTTTATGATAATATTTATTACATTTATTCTTCAAATCTTCAAGAATTCCTCTTTTTTATGATAATATTTATTACATTTATTCTTCAAATCTTCAAGAATTCCTCTTAAATAAGCATTATTGTGAGTCAAATTCATAACAGTAAATTAATTCTGTATATCCAAATTTAACCAAAAATTATGTTAGACTTTTTTAGTGGTCTAGTTGTAAATTTTTTTTTTTTTTTAATTTGTGGTGATTTAAAAAATGCTCTATACATATATTTTTAATTTTTTTAATATATATTATATGAGTTGTTATTGTGTGTACATAAAAACCTGGAGAAAGTAAATATGGGCAGCAGCTAAAAGGATAGGGCACGCGTTAAGGAAAAGTAAAACTGAAAAAAGTTGACCCGATAAAATCATAAATACTTGTAATTAACGTGCCAATTTTGCAAATAAACTACTTTACATAGAAAAGGGGAAAAATAATTTCTCTCTCTACTCTCACACTTCTCTCTCTCTCTCTACCCTCACCGTCTCCGGCGACGATGCCGGCGCTGGATTCTACAATCGACGGGATTGATTTCCGATACAGCTCTAGTATTTTCTCTCAGCTGAAGGATATCCCGGCGGCCGCATCTGTCGTGCCGGAATGACGCCGCTTTATCAGGGAAGATCCTATTAACTTGTTGCTCCTGGTTCGGATCCGAATCGATGGCTCAATTTCTAATATAATTTGTATGTTTTCCAGCTGGAAAGCTGAATTTGTTGGATTTGTTGTTGTTTTATGTTTTTGTTTTATTTCTTCATAAAACCAGAATAAGAAGCTGGGGGTATACGGATGGGGTTTCGCTGATAAATCGAAGTTTGAATCTTTATTGAAATAGATTTTGATTCTCCTTTTTTTTTTTTTTTTTTTTTTCTTTCCATGGATTGGGAATAATTGAAAGCTTTCAAGTGTGAATATAGTTTTTATTTATAATGTAGGGTGAAGATATTTTTAAAAGGAGAAGTATTTCTTGACCTGAAACAAAATTGATGGGTATAATTGATACATGATGAATACCTGATTTTGTGGGGATGGAAAAATAAAAATGACTTAAAAATAATTTTGGTTTATAACTGGGGTTTTGAAATTTTGGGATTCAATTGATTTGTTAAACCTATTAGTGTGTGTGGTATAGAAAGGGGCTAACATGGATTCCGAAGCCCGGGACTCAAAAAAGTTAAAGCTCTGTTCTTACAACACCAATCTGACGAATCTTGCTCGTTCGGTTGAAGAAGAAACCGAAACGAGTTCAAGAGGAGAAGGTGAAGATGGTCGTGTTTTCGGATCAAGTGATTCCTTTCTCCCTGGCTTGCACGATGACGTGGCTCTAACGTGTCTAGCTCGTGCTAGTAGATCAGATTACGCTTCTCTGTCCTGCCTAAACATGAGATTCTACACGCTTATCAAAAGTGGCTACTTATACGGATTGAGAAGGCAATTGGATATTGTGGAGCATTGGGTCTACATGGTATGTGATCCAAGGGGGTGGGAGGCATTCGACCCCTTCCGAAACAAGTGGGCAAGACTTCCGAAAATACCCTGCGATGACTGTTTCAACTATGCGGACAAAGAGTCACTAGCTGTGGGGAATGAACTCCTAGTCTTCGGGCGCGAGTTGTTCGAATTCGCAATTTGGAAGTACAGTTTGACCAACCGCGATTGGTCAAAGTGTGAAGGAATGAACCGCCCCCGTTGCCTCTTTGCTTCGGGCAGTCTTCGCTCAATAGCTATTGTGGCAGGTGGGAGTGATAAAAACGGGAAAATCTTGAAATCTGCAGAGCTCTACGATTCTTTGACTGGGAAATGGGAGATGCTGCCTAGCATGCACTCGCCACGTAGACTGTGCTCGGGGTTTTTCATGGATGGGAAGTTTTACGTGATCGGTGGAATGACGGGCCCTACAGATTCGTTGACTTGTGCAGAGGAGTTTGACCTCAAGGCAAGAAAGTGGAGGAGAATCGAGGGTATGTACCCGAACGTGAATCGAGCTGCTCAAGCTCCTCCACTCGTTGCTGTTGTAAATAACGAGCTCTATGCGGTTGAGTATATGACCAACATGGTTAAGAGGTATGATAAGGGGAAGAACTCTTGGGTTGAGTTAGGGAGACTTCCGGTTAGGGCTGACTCATCGAATGGGTGGGGGCTTGCTTTCAAGTCTTGTGGGGAGAATCTTCTTGTTGTGGGGGGGCAGAGGGGACCGGAAGGGGAAGCGATCGTGTTGAATTCTTGGTGTCCGAAAAAGGGGGTTAGAGACGGGGCGTTGGATTGGGAGGTACTAGGTGTGAAGGAGCATGCTGGTGTGTTTGTCTACAATTGTGCTGTCATGGGGTGCTGAAGGAGGGAAGAAAAAGAAACAGAAACATAAACAGGTTTTTTAATGCATCTATTGTGTTGTTGTATTCGGTTTTAAGTTTGTTGTATTATCGTATTTGTGTCGAACGGATTTGTTATTATTGAATTATTCTCTTTTAATTGTTGCATAATAGTTTTTTTTTTTTGGGTTTTATGAGATTCTGAATCTTGTTTTGGTTTCGGAACTTTTCTGTTGTTCGTTTTCTCGGATTTTCTGTGTTCGTCATTCGCATTTTAAAACTGCATGATTCAGAGACACTACTACTTTGCAGTTAACATTGTAAAGTCTAGTGGTTTTTCTTATGTTTTTCAACCTTGTATTTGTAATAAAATGACTTTGACATGGTTTTCATGTTTTTTTTTTGGGTCTTCTTTGACAACCATATTTTTATTTGTTAAACTACGGCCACCCCTGAATTAAGGTCAAATGACGAAAAAATCCCTGGTAATAACATCAACCCCTTAACTATGAATCTTCTTTCACTCCCACCATTGAAGTGTCTATTTTAGTGAATTTTCTAAATTATGTGAAATATTCTCCAATTGGTATCTGTTTTCGAGCTCTACATTTTAAAACAAGATGATCGTAAGATGTGTCTCTGCACTTGTGAATATCAGATTATGATCACGTGTAATTAGATTAATAATTGAGGTGGTTGTAATTACCCAAACACGTGGAGTTTTTCGTAATTTGTCGTTACCTTAGAGGATGGCCGTAATTTAAACTTTTTATTATTCCCAAATGAGGCTTCTTTAATGAAAAGATTGATGCAAATCACAAAGCAACACAACCCCAATAAACAAAGATTAATATTTTAATCATAGCATAAACTTTTTAAAACAACAACACTCCATTCAACATACAACACAAATTCAAAACACAGTTACACAGAGAAGATAAATGGTAAGACAGCTCATATGCTAAATCCACCACCTCCACTCATTTTATTCTTCAACACAACACACAACCAAACACTAAATCGTATCAAATCAAACTCACACCACCATCAAGTAACCCTAGTTAATCCCCCAACCACACATGAGCATACACACCACTCTTCCTCAAACTCTCCACGGTCTTCGTACAGTCAGCACCACTGTCCGGACATCGAAGAAAGAGTTCATCCACACGGCATATACCTCCCGATTTAAACAGCTCGACGAGAATATCCATCTCCACCAACTCCGCTTTCATCATCAGCACAACAAAATCCCCGTCGGAAACAGTCTCGTCAAACCAGCGAGCAAAGTCGAACCCTTCATCGTCACTCGGGGCGCTCATAAACTCGTCCGAGGTAATCTCCGGAGCAGAGGAGTTTCCGGAAAGTTCCGGATGGTACACGAAGTTGATACCCGGATCCGTCACGTAGGACGAAAGCACCGATGCCCTATGGTCGATAACGTACACCTCGAACGCCGCATGGTGGTCCCCACAATAGGTTTTTGACATTTTTGCGACGCTCGTTTTTGCGTACTCACCCGCACCAAGATTGATATAGACCAACTTGCTTCTAGAAGAAATGTTCATGTAGTTGGGGAGATACGAGGGTTCAGGAAACCCTAAAGGCCGTTCGACGTACTTCATGTAGGGCCCGTTATTTGTGACGGAAGCACATTTATCCGGGAGTTGAAAGGCGAAACTCTCGAGCCTCTTTTTGAACACTAAAAGTGAGAAAGATCCAATTTCACATGCATGAATGATATCGGAGCTTTTCAAGAAACCACCGTAGTGGATTTTGTGGGGGCCGACGAGCATAGCACCGGTGCCACCTGGACGTAGGACCCGCTCGATCTCGGAGACTAGTAGGGCCGGGACGGAAACCCTATCGAGATTATCGGAGAAAACAAAGTCGAAAAGATTGTCCTGAAAATCGAGCTCGTACACGAATCTCCTCTTGAGGAGAGAGAAAAACGGGTGCCTTTCGATACTAAAGGCGTTGAAGAACCCTAAATGGCGCAATGCCAATACAGCGGAGCCGGATTTGGGCCCCACGCACAACGCTCCAGCGTTCGATTGCAGCAACTTCTTCTCCATCAATTCTTTGAAAACTGTTCTAGTCAAGTTTTCGCTTTCTCTGCAGGAAACGGGAGAAGCACCGCCGAAGAGGGTTTTCTTCGAGCACGGCCCGGAACTCAAGAAACGGGTGAGGTTGAAACCCGGGTCTGATCCGAAATCGAACGGGCATTCGTCGGCGGCGCTCGAGTACATTGGCTCGACCACTCGAATTTCACGGGTCATTTGGGTTAAACAAACCACAATCACAGCCAATACAAGCATGAAGGCTCTAAGCACCACGCGCCTCATCAACGGCCCACCAAGCAGATGCCATTTCAAGAACTTCTTCAAGTCCATGTTTTTCTTCAACTTAAAAAAAAAAAACGGATCTTTTTTTTTTTCAAGTAGTTTCGAAAGTAGCAGGCGGATCGATCTATACTCTAGTATGAACTCAAAAAAAAGCTCACAGAATAAGATTATTTCAGTAGTTAAAAAAAAGAGATTTTTAAATAGAAAGCCAACTAAGACTAACTGTAGAAAAACACACAGTTTAGCGAGTGCAAAACCTGGAGGAGGTGTGGTTTCCACCCACCAGTAATCCCATTGACATTTGAAACCCTAGCCACACCCTTCTCTGAACCCTTCTCCCCATCGGCTCAAACCAATCACCACCCATCTTCAATTTTACCTCAATTCATCACGGAGTTGAGAATTAAGCGCGGAATTACATGTTTTTTAAAAAAAAAATTCTGTAAAATTGTTCAAAATTGAGCTTGAGAAGAAGAATCGAACAGTGGGGTTATGGAAATGGGATGAAATTAAAAGGAGTGGATCTAAAGTAGGTGAAGCGAACGAGGTAGAGAGAGAGAATGAGAGATAGAGAGAGAGAGTGATTGAGCTGTGGAGTTGATATAGAGGTTTGATTTGGACGAAGGTTCGAAACGGTGTCGTTTTTGGGTAAGCAGGTACCTACGTGTACGATGAATATTGGATGCAGAGTGGAAAGTTGAGGTTGACGGAGGACCTACTTATTTAAAGCACCCCATGTGAAAATGGTATCAATTATTTATTTTTTTTGGGGAAAATTGATTCTTATTATTAAGCAAGATATATTAATTTTTAATTATATTTAAATTTATATTTTAATTTTAGTGAAACATACCGTTTTCATCCTTCAAGTATGCACGGATTCAACATTTGGTCCTTCGTGTTTCAAACATTCAACACGTTTAGTTTTTTCCGTCAATTTTTCATTTGCACTGACGATATTAAGTGTGTTCGTATCACTGTCTTAACTAATGGACTAACGGTCCATTGAGTGAGAGGGCCATAAGTGGTAAATTATTAAACATAATGGACCAAATGTGTTTTTTTTATGAACATGAGAACCATATGTAAAATGTGCAAACTTGAGGGATGAAAATTGTAATTTCTCCTTTAATGTTATCTCTTACTCCCTCTATTTTATTTAAGCCCTGCTATTTGAATAACTTTTAATGTTAGATTCGTCTTCATTCTAGATTCTCACGATTACCACCTTATCACCGATGGTCGTCGCCGAGGCACCACCGTCTGGACATCAAAAACTTTCACTGCTGGAATTGAATAGCCCTCCTCCAATAAACGACAACTTCCTCCTCTATGTCCCCGACCAACATATCGCATGGCAGAGCTTCTCCTATCTATTACGATATACTTCAGTTTTTCTGGTATCGATTTTAGTATTATTATGTGACAGTTTATATTTCAGCATTTGTTATATGTTGAGAGCAATATTTTAATATAATCTTCCTATTGTGCTAGTATGACTTAATTTTCAGATGTCTAATTTGGTCCAATGCGTGCCTTTTATTAAATTATTTTCTTGTTATATAAAAATTTATTGCAGGTTGATACTTTTCTTAGAGTGTGGGATTTTTTGGGAATATTGATTTATCACTTGAATTATACTTGTAATATATGAAAAATATTATTATCACAAACTCTTTAATGAGTTTGTTTTTTAATACTTTTAGACCATGAAAGATAGTGTATTAGATTAATGGGTTACTGCAAATAATTAGTAATATATAGTGACTGACAAACTAATGGTCCCAACGGTCTTTTTCTTTCACCAAAAAGTCAATATTTTTATTTTTAAATTATACCAAAGTTTTGCACATGATATGAATATATATTTGATAAATAGGTGACCGTCAGAATTGAATTTAAGTTTTATTTTTCACAACTCTATAACATTGTATCGGATAATTATTTCATCTTAAGAATAATAATATGTTTGTTTTAAAGTTATTAAAATGATAACAATCGAAATGGGCGAATTTACAAAAAAAAAAAAAAATTATTTATTCATAACTAGTATTTTTCCCCGTGCGATGCACGGGATATTATTTAAATAGTAAAAAAAAATTGATCAATTTAATACAAAATAAGAAAATATGGTACACTAATATAGTAAAATTTAATAATGTAGTATTATCCATATTTTATATAACATTAGTTTTTTTAAATTTTACATATTAAGATAATAAGATTTATAATCCAAATAAATAGATTAGATTTAACAAATCGAATTTCTAGCTTTATCTCTTAAGATTTGAGATATATTGATGAAAAATAGGAGATTAATAATTGTTGAAAATTATGGTTATAAAATTAATAGAGAAAAAATATTAAAAGTAAATAATTAAATAAGTACCAATAAGGTAGGATTCTTCACGGGTTAGTTTTAATTTTGATAATTGTTAAAAAATATAGTAAATTAGTAGAGAAAAAATATTATAAATAAATAATTACAGAAATACCATTAGGATTTTTTTAGGGTTGCCCGGCGTTTCTTTCTTTTATATATAAGATATAAGATATGGAAGAGTATACATACTAATATTATTATTATTATTTATCATAAATGCAATTTTCTAGAAAAAAATATCAGAATATTTGAATTATTTTTTAAAATTATAATCGGATTGACAATCGGAATATAATATGTACTCCAATTCCGATTTTTTTTCCGGAAATCTAGAAAAAGAAAATCTGAAATCCAGAAGATAATTTTGTTCCAAAATCGAGAGTTTTTTTAATTTGAATTGGAGCAAGTCGATTTTTTTTCCTTCCAATTTTCATCCGAAGTCCGAATATATGATCCAGTGTTTGATTTAGGCTATGTTTTATACGATTAAGCACTGAATGCTGAATGTTGAATACATGACTGAATGGATAAGAGCGGTCTCAGAATACTGAATGCTGAACCATTAAGCTCATTTGATTGATTAAGATTAGTAATGTCTGAATAATATTAATTTACTGTTATAATCTTGATAAAATATTTCTTAATTAAATTATTAATTAACACCATATATGTAATTTTTTAGCATGATTAACTTAATGAGCAAAGTGCAACAATAGTTCACGTAAATGATTCTACATCTCGCAAATGAAGTTTCACGAAAAAATATGAAAATATTTAGGTTTGAAACCCTTTGTAAGTACTTTAAAAAAAAATTAATAATAAATATTGTTAAGATAAATGAAAGAACAAACGATATAATTTACCTATGAATTTTGTTAAATAAATAGAAAATTTTGTACGATACACTAAAAATTGATTTTTATAACCAGGATGAAATTTGATAAGCAAAAAAAAAAAAAAAGTAAAAATAAATACAGAAAGAAAAACGAGGGAGACGTTTTGATTTCTATTTCCAAGATGTATATAATATAATTAATAAATATACTAAAAGGTGGGGACACTTTGTAAAAAAACAATGTATACGAATATAGTATTATCATGAAATACCATGAGATAGCAATAGTGGTGGTACAATTCTATTCATATATTGCACTTATTCGTTCAGCATCCAATTCCCGGCTTAATAGGTAGGATCCTTTTGGAAACATTCAGAGATCATTATCAAATGCCATGAATGCATAATTGCTTACCGAATCAGGTTAAGGTGTCATTAAGAGACTCATTAAGCGCAATCAAATAAGCCCTTAGACATACTCCATTCTTATTGGGCTTTTGTAGATCTTAGGCCCATTCAATTTGAAGATTTGAGATTTGGGGAAATGTGGGATGCTCCCTAGTTTTGAAAATATATATGGATAACTCTTCAACAGTCTCATCCAAAACTTTATTCTCCAAGGATAACTCGAATAGCCTCTCCAAAATCGTACGCTTGCGCTTCTTCCAATTCTTCATCTTTGAGCTTGTGTGGATCGTATCATACTCCCCATCTTTAAAAGGATTCGTCCTCGAATCTGGACAGATATAAAAAGGAGCATATATAAACCATCTTTCACGATCGTCTTCAAACAATTGTAGCTCATATGGTCTAGAATACTCCAAAGTTGATACACTCAACATTCCCACCGAAGTATAGCTAGTCGCATTGGTACAACCAACTCCATCAATCATCAAACTCGAAGATACACCTTCATTGCGCTGAGTAGGAGCAAGATAATCTTCGTGTATTGCATCACCATCTTCATCAGCATGCACAATTGGGGTTTGCACTCCGGTTAGCTCGGCATTAACTTCGATGCATGGCTGGATCATATCATTCTCCACCTCTTCAAAAGGATTCGCCCTCGAATCCGAACCTTCTTTTTCAATAACTAGTGGCGCGGGATTGCAATTTTCTTCTCCATTGAACTCGACCTCAACTAGCGCATCAATAACTCCCAAATCAGTTTGAGTGTTTTCTTTCTCAAAATCTTGACGAGTATCTTCCTTCTCAAGTGGCGATAAAGAATCACCCATTCTCTTCAATTGCTTGTAGTCTCCTTTGTCTCGTAGAATTTCCTCTGCATTGGGATTTTGTAAGGGTTCTCTCGTTTGGCTCGTTGAAGATCTCCTATGTGATTTCCAACTCGTTGAACTCCTTTCTTCTAACTTAGTAACCTGCCTCAAGCTTTGCATCTTCAATTTCCTATAATAATGGGCAGGAACGAACCTCTTTCTCATAACTGCCTTCATGGACTCCCAATCATCAATTGGTGGTTCACCAAAGCGGCGCCTAGTTAAGACCAATTGGTCATACCAAATAATTGCATAGTCAATGAATGCTTCGACGACGAGCTTCATCTTCTTCTTTTCGGAATAATAACGACAATCGAATACGAGCTCAAGCTTTCTTTCCCATTGAATGTACGCATCAGGATCACTCTTACCTTGGAAAGATGGTATTGTCAACTTGATTTAGCTGGAGTTTTGATCTACGCCATCTCTTTCTCGAACAAAATATCCTCGGCTCGATCTATCCAATCCAGACCCTCGTCCCATACTCTCCCTTATTAATTTTGTAGCATTCACACCAAAATTTCCATCACGATCTACCTCTTTATGGGGATAAGGTATAACTGGTTGGTGAACATCACGTCGTACGTATGGCCCTCGAACATATTGATCTTTGCGTAGTTTCTTTAGTTGGGTAACAATTCCTTCCATCCGATCTTGGAGTTCCTGGAAGCGTATTTCCATAGACGACATCCTACGCTGCTTAATTGTTTCTCCTTTATAACCGGCCTACATGATCAAAGCAAAAAAAAAATTCCTTTTTATTTTTAATGACACTAACAAAACGTAACTTAGACTCTAAGAAACTCCAAAAAATAACTAAAATTCGAATTTGATTTTTTTTTTATTGACACGAACAAACCCTTACTTGGCTGGAAAGAAATCTAAACAAAAAATAAAAATTCGAATTTTTTGTATTTTTTTTGACGAAAACTCTAAATAACACAACTCAAGAAAAGATGAGATATACTAGAAGACACAACAAAAAATAAAGATAGGTGAAACCTGTTTTGGATGTTGGCTCTGATACCAACTAATACGAACCCCGTAGAACTTGTTACGAGACCCAATACCCTACGCGGAAGCAAGATCGAAGACACCAAAAAAAAATGATTCAGATTGGCGGAAGCAAGGAATAATGACCTCATAGCTATAAAGAGCTAGAAACCATTATTATTAAGGTGAAATATAATATTGACCCCGTGGTTATAAAGAACCAGAAACCAATATTATGGCGCTAAGAAAATTACAAGAATCCACTTGTAAAATTTCGAAGGTTGCTGTAGAACAACGAAGAAGAATTGTCTCTCAAAAACTCAATTAATTCATTAAAATTCGTCCCATAAAATAGGCCAAATTGGCAACCTATTTATAAGATCTAAAAAGACTCTTTTTTCACAAGGAAAATGACTCCTACCTAAACTATAATAAGGAAATAAATAAATAAGCAAATCCTAACCATTAAGAACTCTAAAATACCAAAATAATGTAAATCCTAAATAAAAACGTAATTCAATAAAACATAAACTTCAAACATCAAGTCGACCACACAAACATTCTTCATAACTCGAGTAGACAATTGGTTGTGCACGTGTCTTGACTTCAAGCTCGATTTATGACCTCTTCCACTCTAAATCTCTCTCGGATCAAAACATCAAAGTTGTAGATCTTCTAGTTGGCTTTCCGTAGCAATCTGAATCACCTAAATTGGACGTGATATGAGAGAGTTATAACCCGCATGGTAAAACTGCCTGAAATTGGCGAGAATCTCGGATGCATGGAATTCGGCTAGTCCGATTAATTTTCTTTTTCTTTTCTTCCAATTCCAAACCAATAACTCTTCAACAGTCTCATTCAAAACTTTATTCTCCAAGGATAACTCGAATAGCCTCTCCAAAATCGTACGCTTGCGCTTCTTCCAATTCTTCGTCTTTGAGCTTGTGTGGATCGTATCAGTAGTGGTTACTTACTTGGGTGATTTGGTTCAGACTACATATAATTATACGTGACTATAGAATTTGTAGTATACTATATGTAGTTATATGCAGTCATATGTAGTCATGGCTACATATAACTATACATGACTATAGAATTTGTAGTATACTATAGTCATTTGTAGTCGATTTCAGTACGGTAAATTTATCAAAAAAAAAAGAATGTTTTTTTGTATTTTTTCGTGTAATAAAATGAATTGCTTGATGAATTG